ATTGTCCAATTCCCATATTGTCCAATTCCCATATTGTCCAATTCCCAAATTGTCTCATTCCCATATTATCCAATTCCAAATTTGTCTAATTCCCAAATTGTCTAATTCCCATATTGTCCAATTCCCATATTGTCCCATTCCCATATTATCCAATTCCAAACTTATCCAATTCCCAAATTGTCCAATTCCCAACTTGTCCAATTCCCAAATTGTCCAATTCCCCTTTTACAAATCCCCAAATTTCCAAGTTCCAAAACTTCCTAAACCCCCAAAGACTTCTCAAACTTCACCTCCAATCCCAACTCCACAACCTCAAAATTCTCAACCTTCTCAAACTCCCCAATTCCCCAAATAACTCCATGATCCACTAGTAACAAAACTCACCGTCATAGCTTGAAGCAGCGTATTAGTCCTGCGTTCAATCTCCGCTTTGGGCACCCCACAAAAAGTGTTCCTCCACCGATTGAGGGTGGCCACCCCCAAGGGTGGATTGGTGCTCACCATCTCGTCTAATGCACTATCTCATTTCACAAAATTTCTCCCAAAATTCAACCCACACGTTACACTTTCTTATGTCCAACGTCCAACGTCGATTTATTTAATTCTTCTTCGCCGAAGAACATGGTCTCAAGATTCAGAGCACGACGATGACCCACGAACGAAGAAAAGCACGGAACAATGACGTCGTTGCGGTAGCACTCGCGTGTCTCGAGATCTCCCGACACTTTCGTCTTTGCTCACAACAAAGGCTACTTAGTTCTGTTGGGAACGATTTGTGTCACGGAACCGTGAAGAAGCGTGATACGCTAGTTCGAACGGGATCGAAGAAAACGGAACGGAGAAACATGGAGAACTGGCTCGAAAACGAAATGGTGGCTTGCACTCGAGCTTTGTCGGCCGAAGATGAACTCCACGGCGACCGCGACCTTTCTTATCTTACGCATATTTATTCGACCGTGCGTATGCATAATCGAAGAGGAACATCTAATCGAACTCGTGGACGGAATCGAAATGGTAAATGTATTGGGACGTGTATGAAGATGGATGACGATTGTTGGTAGGTTAAGTAGTGGGTTAAGCAGTTATGGTTGCATGTTGAATAACAGTTTTATTAATTATTGTGTTTGTTGTAGGAGTAAATGTGAAGATGGAGAGCAGAGGATTATATGAAGCAGGTGAGGAAGAAGTTATGAGAAGAAGTATGAAGTTGATTAATAATGATGTTATATTATATACAAAATAAAAAATTCAGCAAAAAAGTATGAAGTTGAAGAACATTATATATAAGCATGTAGTAGGAAGAAGTTAGGAGAAGAAGATAATAGAAGTATAAAGTTGAAGAACAGTATAATATTAAGCATGTAGCAAGAAGAAGTTAGTAGGAGAAGTATAAAGTGGATTAATAATATTGTTATATTACATACAAAGTACAGAAGTGATAAAAGAAGTATGAAGTTGAAGAACAGTTTAATATTAAACATGTAGCAAAAACAAGTTGGGTAAAGAAGTATGAAGTTGGTTTATAATATTGTTATATTACATACAAAGTACAGAAGTGATGAAAGAAGTATGAAGTTGAAGTACAGTTTAATATTAAGCATGTAGTAAGAAGAAGTTAGGAGAAGAAGTATAAAGTGGATTAATAATATTGTTATATTACATACAAAGTACAGAAGTGATAAAAGAAGTATGAAGTTGAAGAACAGTTTAATATCAAGCATGTAGCAAGAACAAGTTAGGAGAAGAAGTATGAAGTTGATTAATAATGTTGTTATATTATATACAAAATACAAAATTGACCAAAAACTATGAAGTTGAAGAACACTAAATATTAAGCATGTAGTAAGAAGAAGTTTGGAGAAGAAGTATGAAGTTGATTAATAATATTGTTATATTATATGCAAAGTACAGAAGTGATAAAAGAAGTATGAAGTTGAAGAACAGTATAATATTAAGCATGTAGCAAGAACAAGTTAGGAGAAGAAGTATGAAGTTGATTAATAATGTTGTTATATTATATACAAAATACAAAATTGACCAAAAACTATGAAGTTGAAGAACACTAAATATTAAGCATGTAGTAAGAAGAAGTTTGGAGAAGAAGTATGAAGTTGATTAATAATGTTGTTATATTATATACAAAATACAAAATTGACCAAAAACTATGAAGTTGAAGAACACTAAATATTAAGCATGTAGTAAGAAGAAGTTTGGAGAAGAAGTATGAAGTTGATTAATAATGTTGTTATATTATATACAAAATACAAAATTGACCAAAAACTATGAAGTTGAAGAACACTAAATATTAAGCATGTAGTAAGAAGAAGTTTGGAGAAGAAGTATGAAGTTGATTAATAATGTTGTTATATTATATACAAAATACAAAATTGACCAAAAACTATGAAGTTGAAGAACACTAAATATTAAGCATGTAGTAAGAAGAAGTTTGGAGAAGAAGTATGAAGTTGATTAATAATGTTGTTATATTATATACAAAATACAAAATTGACCAAAAACTATGAAGTTGAAGAACACTAAATATTAAGCATGTAGTAAGAAGAAGTTTGGAGAAGAAGTATGAAGTTGATTAATAATATTGTTATATTATATGCAAAGTACAGAAGTGATAATAGAAGCATGAAGTTGAAGAACAGTTTAATATTAAGCATGTAGCAAGAACAAGTTAGGAGAAGAAGTATGAAGTTGATTAATAATGTTGTTATATTATATACAAAATACAAAATTGACCAAAAACTATGAAGTTGAAGAACACTAAATATTAAGCATGTAGTAAGAAGAAGTTAGGAGAAGAAGTATAAAGTGGATTAATAATATTGTTATATTACATACAAAGTACAGAAGTGATGAAAGAAGTATGAAGTTGAAGTACAGTTTAATATTAAGCATGTAGCAAGAACAAGTTAGGAGAAGAAGTATGAAGTTGATTAATAATGTTGTTATATTATATACAAAATACAAAATTGACCAAAAACTATGAAGTTGAAGAACACTAAATATTAAGCATGTAGTAAGAAGAAGTTTGGAGAAGAAGTATGAAGTTGATTAATAGTGTTGTTATATTACATGCAAAGTATAGAATTGATAATAGAAGTATAAAGTTGAAGAACAGTATAATATTAAGCATGTAGCAAGAAGAAGTTAGTAGGAGAAGTATAAAGTGGATTAATAATATTGTTATATTACATACAAAGTACAGAAGTGATGAAAGAAGTATGAAGTTGAAGTACAGTTTAATATTAAGCATGTAGTAAGAACAAGTTAGGAGAAGAAGTATGAAGTTGATTAATAATATTGTTATATTATATGCAAAGTACAGAAGTGATAATAGAAGCATGAAGTTGAAGAACAGTTTAATATTAAGCATGTAGCAAGAACAAGTTAGGAGAAGAAGTATGAAGTTGATTAACAAAATTGTTATATTATATCCAAAATATAAAATTGAGGAAAAAGTATGAAGTTGAAGAACAGTATAATATTAAGCATGTAGCAAGAAGAAGTTAGTAGGAGAAGTATAAAGTGGATTAATAATATTGTTATATTACATACAAAGTACAGAAGTGATAAAAGAAGTATGAAGTTGAAGAACAGTTTAATATTAAACATGTAGCAAAAACAAGTTGGGAGAAGAAGTATGAAACTGAATACTAATGTTGTTATATTATAATTGAAGAAAAAGTATGAAGTTGAAGAACAGTATAATATTAAGCATGTAGCAGAAACAAGTTGAGAGGCAAAATACAAAATTGAATGATAATATTATAATTGTTATACATTATTGTTACATAATAATTTTATATATTATTGTTATATATTATTATTACAATTGAAGAAAGAAGTCTAAAGTTGAGGAGCAGTATTGTGCTCCGTTTTCCAAGAAAATTTCTAACATAGCTCTTTTTTTAGCACATCCGACCGTTCGACCTGTCTAAAAGAACGCAAGGAATTTATCCGACTGAAATAGTCGATTCCTAACCTCAAAAGATCGAAATCATTAAGTGACTCGAAACTTTGAAACTCTTTACATTTTGATGAAGTTGTTATTACAGATTGAAGATTAGTTACGATGGGTCAGTGGAAAACGTGGAAACTGGGTCGTAGACTTTAGCATTATATGTATATTGGCGAACTTGGCTGCCAACAGCAGTTGACTCTGACAATGAGATTCCGTTTATTTGGACATCTTTGGGCAACATTGACCCTATTGGCTCGATAGAGACTCAAAACATGGCTGTTGGAATGTTTGTTATTTGATTTAGTTAGGGAGAAGTAATATTTAGATATAATTTTATTATGGGTGTTTCTAGAAAAACACTGTATTTGTACTTTTAAGTTTCTGAATTTCTTGGATATTTTAACCTCTTAAGTATTGTACAATTTTGTACATTTTTTAAAATCTAAGTTAATAAATATTCAAATTACTGAACCTCCAAATTTTCAAATCCCTAAATCAGCAAATTTTCATGCACCTAAGTCTCCAAACTTCCACATCCCTAAATTCCTAAATTTTTGGATCCCTAAATCTATAAATGTCTCAAATTTTCAAGCTTTAAAACGTTCCAAACTTCTGAAACCCACAAATCCTCAAATTCTCAATTCCCCAAATTCCCAAATGCTAAATTTTTCCAAATTCCAAAATCTTCAAATGTTCCACATTTTTGAAGCCCTGGAACCCCAAACTTCTGAATTCCAAAAATCCTTAAATTCTCAAATCTCCAAATCCCTAAGTTCTCAAATCCCCAAATTTTCAAATCCCTACATTCTCAAATTTCCAAGTCTCCAAATCCGCAAACTCTCAAATTCCTAAGATCTCAAATTTTCCAAATCTCCAAATCTACAAATTCTCAAGTTCAAATACCCAAATCTCCAAATCCCTAAATTCTCAAATTCCCCAAATCTCCAAATCCCTAAATTCGCAAATCCCTAAATTCTCAAATTCCCAAATCTCCAAATCCCCAAACTCTCAAATTTCCCAAATTCTCAAGTCCCCAAATCTGCAGATCTCCAAATTTTCAAATTCCCCAAATCTCCAAATTCCTAAATTCTCAAATTCCCAAATCTCCAAATCCCCAAACTCTCAAATTTCCCAAATTCTCAAGTTTTCCAAATCTCCAAATACCCAAATCTCCAAATCCCTAAATTCTCAAATTCCCCAAATCTCCAAATCCCTAAATTCTCAAATTCCCCAAATCTCCAAATCTCTAAATTCTCAAATTCCCTAAATCTCCAAATCCCTAAATTCGCAAATCCCCAAATTCTCGAATTCCCAAATCTCCAAATCCCCAAACTCTCAAATTTCCCAAATTCTCAAGTTTTCCAAATCTCCAAATACCCAAATCTCCAAATCTCCAAATTCTCAAATTCCTCAATCCCCAAATCCCCAAATCTCCAAATCTCCAAATCTCCAAATACCCAAATAATTCCCAAATCTCCAAATCCCCAAACTCTCAAATTTCCCAAATTCTCAAATCCACAAATTCTCAAGTTTTCCAAATCCCCAAATTCTCAAATCCCCAAATCTCCAAATTCCCAAATTCTCTAATTCCCCAAATCTCAAAATCCCCAAATTCTCAAATCCCTAAACCCCCAAATTCCCAAATCCCCAAATTACCCCTCACACCTCCAAAACCCCAAAACCAAACAAAAGCACCCCAACAACCAAAAAGAAGAACGCAGCACAAGAACAGTTAAGCCGTGAGTTATAAACGCGAGCGGTGTTCCCACCGAGGTACGCGTGTTCAATTTATTCCGCCACAAAAGGACACGATGAATTGATAGAACAAAGAAGCTGAAGCTTTATCGAACAATCTCCCATTTCTCCTGTCCATTTCTCTATCTCGGCCGTTTGCTTCGGCCGCTACCATTTAAATATGTACATATCGAGGCCCGAACGACGCATTGGCCGCACTGTTAACTCGGCCACCAATGGAAAACGCAAAAACAAGACAATGAATCTGCACAAAGGGAAACTATGCCGTATCCTGTTTGAGCCGACCCACGGGGCAAGTGCAACCACAATGCGTTCGTATGCTCGCGCAATTGCGCCCAATGAAAATTGATATACCGGCAATTAGCTGATTGACCGACGAGGCACGCGTAGTCGCACATACTACGTTACTGCTCGTTACTATTATTTCTGATGTGGTTTCTTATTTTTTGCAAAATTTCATTTCCTATCTAGGTTTAATACTGTAGATATATGCTGATTTTGGGCTCTTCTTTTGGAGGAATTTTTTGAATTATTTCTGATTCAGGTTTTATAGGATGATTTAGGGTTTTAGGTTAGTTGGATTG